AACTATGGAAACTGAAGAAACTACTTTATCATGGAATGGGGATGGTGTTTTATCTATAATGGCCAAAAGAATCCAAAGAAATGCTGTTAGGATCAAGGACATCTGGATGGTCTCCGAGTAAATATTTACCTGCAAAAAAATCGACAGACTTACTGGGTAACTGCAATACTACGAACAATGCACAGCCTGCATGTGGATGCTCTCCACGGCGGCCATAAGACTTAAATTCTGAAACACATTCCAGCAGGCAGTAAACAAGAGGACCCACGGGAGGCACAGGGCTTCTGAGATCTGCAAGGAGACCAGGTCCTGGGCCTGAGGAGCATGGGAGAGCCCAAAGCACCGAGAGAGAGAGAACATCAGAGCCTGGGTCCTGAGAACTGAGGAAGATGAAAGAACACCGGACGCTGGAGTCTGAGGAAGGCAAGAGAATACTTTTTCCGGGCTCTCAAGGAAGAAGAGGGTTGGGCCTGAGGAAGAACATACATCATGTCCCGGCAGTGACAGACTTGCTCTATTTCCTAGACATGGGCACCTTGGCTCCTAGAACAAGGATTCTTTGCTTAAGCAAACTGTAGGCAGGTCCCTCTGCACCCTTTCTCCACCAAGGCTCATCTCTGGAATCATTTTAGCAAGAATCATGGTAATTCAGTTTGTCAAGAATTCCCTAACCTTGATATCTAATAAAACTCCTCATCCTCATTATAGTCCCACAGGTGACATCCAGTCTCCCTGGCTTGCCCCTAGCAAGAATCCTTTCAGGTGGGTTCCACCAGGACCCCCCTCAACCTCCCCCAAAACGACTTGATATCTCCTCTTTGTCACTTTCTATCCACCAACAACCTCCCCCTCAACCCCATCCCATCACAATCTTTCTCCTTGTCAATAAACCCTCCACTTGTTCGGGCTGTATTCGGAATTAAGCCAGGTTCAATAATGCAGTCTCTCTTCTCTTGTTATAATTTTTTTATGGAATATAATCTATTTTCAGCCCAGCCAGTGTGGCTCAGTGGTTGAGTATTGACCTGTGAACCAGGAGGTCAGGACGCAGCAAACCCGGGTTGCGGGCTCCAGCCCCAGTAGAGAGGGTGAAGGAGGCAGCCCATCAGTGATTCTCTCCCATCATTTATGTTTATCTCTCTCTCTCCCTTCCTCTCTGAAATCAATCAATCAATCAACATATATACTTTTAAAATAATTTAATTATTTCAAATATTTTTAAAAATATTGATTTTTTACAGAGAGGGAGGGAGAGGGATAGAGAGTTAGAAACATCGATCAGCTGCCTCCTGCACGCCCCCTACTTGGGATGCCCTTGACCAGAATCAAACCCGGGACCCTTCAGTCCACAGGCAAAGGCTCTATCCATTGAGCCAAACTAGTTAGAGCAAAAATATATATTTTTTAAAAATCTATTTTCACCGCTTTAACTTCTACCCAGCTCTGGTTTATCTTTGACAAGACCCACCTGCAGTGGTTCTCAACCTTCTGGCCCTTTAAATACAGTTCCTCATGTTGTGACCCAACCCTAAATTATTTTCATTGCTACTTCATAACTGTCATGTTGCTACAGTTATGAATCGTCATGTAAATATCTGATATGCAGGATGGTCTTAGGCTACCCCTGTGAAAGGGTCGTTCAACCGCCAAAGGGGTTGCGACCCACAGGTTGAGAACCGGTGTCCCAGTCACGTTTAACCCAAACCTTCTCACCGCGCTCCCTAGGCTTCCGGGGAAAGTCCCCACGCGACCTTGGGCTGGTTTTAGTCACGCCCCCAGCACTGCAAGCCCCGTCCCTTCCGTCTTGCCGTGGACGCACACTTAGCCCCGCCCCCGCGTACGTACCTCAGTCCTGTCGCTCCCTCAGGGGACGTTAGCCCCGCCCCAAGCTTCCGGCCTGACCCTCCTCCAATCCTAGGAACTTCGTGGACATTAGCCCCGCCCCCTACAGGCTGTCCGCGCCCCGCCCTCCTCCACATCGAGAATTAGCCACAGCTCCATCACTTCCGACCCTAAGCGCCCTGCTTTCTCCCCAAAGGACGTAATAACCAGTCTCGTCTCCTACCAACTAGTTCTAACCCAGTCAGCACTTCCGGCACAGTCTTCTCCCCGCTCCTTCTTGCTCCAACTTCCGGTTCACCCCACGCGTGGGCGCCCTCCTGAGCGGGCATCACTTGTCTCCCGGCCTGCGTCGCCGCCCACGCAGGGGTGGTTGGGACTTTGCGGCCTGGCGTGCACCGACCCCTTCCCCCGCAGGTGTCCCCTTGCCCGGCGGGACCGCCGGGGTCACATGGGTGAAAGCCCTTTCTCTGGCCGC